TTTTTTTTTTTTTTTTTTTTTTTCCCAAAACAACCCGATTGTCTGCTAGGGGTGCTGATAAGAGCAGACACCACTAGCAGCGTCCGGGAGGCTCCATCTATTGGTGGGGAGCAGCACCTGCTCGAAATCGGGTCCAGCGTCCCTGTATTATACAATGAGTGAAGCAGAGGAAGTCTGAGTATGGCTTGTCAGTAATCATGATGGACTGGGGTGTGAATGACCCAGCACTTTATCAACTCTTTTAGTTGTTTATGTACCATCTATCTACCATTCTTGTCGTAGCCAGGTCTGTGTTTCATAGCTTTGCAGCTGAGGGAGCAGAAGTGAAGTTGTGGGGGCTGTTCTGAACTGGGGCCGGTGACGTGAGGGGGGCGCCTTCCGGTGGAGGCAATATAAGGACAGTTGAGACTTGGACAAACAGTGGAACTTCCATAAGGAAAGAGGTTGGTTTTCCCTCCCTTTCCCTCTTTTGCCAGTGAAGGAAGTAGAGGGTGTTTCCTCTCTCTCTCTCTCTCTCTCTCTCTCTCTCTCTCTCTCTCTCTCTCTCTCTCTCTCTCTCTCTCTCTCTCTCTCTCAGAAAGAAGAAGAAGAAGAAGAAGAAGACGGGTAGGTTGAACATAGGTTGGAGGGGCAGGGGGGGGTTGGCTGGGCCACATATCTTGGAGGCCATAGTCAAGTAGGGATGGTGGCTTCTTCGTGCATACTCCTTGTCAACAGGAGGGGGGGACTTCACGCGCACGCGGACGGGGTGTACCTCGTCTGGCTTCTTCGTGCATACTCCTTGTCAACAGGAGGGGGCGACTTCACGCGCACGCGGACGGGGTGTACCTCGTCTCAACGCGTGGGAGGAAGCCGGGGAACTGCTCGTGCGGGGCACGTCGGAGCGCACCGCCCCAGGCCGTCCAACTTCGAATTTCAAATCGGCTCGATCTGGGCCATCAATCATCGTTGATTGGCAGCTGAGATCGGGCCTTTTTCTTTCGGATCCTGGAGGGCCTTTCTGAGAACCGACTGCGGGAGGGTGTTCAGGGGGATGATAAAAATCCCCCACGGCCCCTGCATCGAAATTCCAGGCCCTGTGCAGGCCCCGGGCCCCTTCTTCCGGCTGGACAAAAGATTTTCCAAGGCCATCCAGAAATCCGGATATTCTACTTAGGGAAGTACTACCCCCCCCCTTCCCCCCACCCCCCCTCTCCCCCTTCAGGGGGTCTAATTTATTAGTTCTTTCCACTAATGCCAGAAGGTCATCCCAGGAACGCCCAAAAGAGATATCCTGCCACTTCATCTCAGAGCCCACTCATATACGTCCCCGATCAAGGCCTGCCTATTGTCGGATTCTCAAGACATGGGAAGGACGTTTGCAGCAGACAAGAACTGCTCTCTATTGCTGGCCCACAGGTTTCGGAAACCGTGCTGTCCTCCAGGACAACAACGCCGTGGCTTTCCTTCCCCCCCCCCCCCCCCCCCCCCC